TTTATTTTTCATTTAAATTATGTTGATAAAAAAAGTATGGCACATAGTGTACCTACTTAAAAATCACAATTAAATAGAATAGTTGTTCAAAGTTATCAATTGTGACTTAGTTGTTATCTCGAGTTAAGAAAATGTAATATTACTTATTAAAAAAAAAAATAATATAATATAGTATCAATCATAGACATAATATAGATGGACTGCGCGTTCCTCCCCCCTCGCCATCAATAAATTCAGCCATAATAACAAGACATGAGAAGGTAAAATAGCATGGATAAAACATTTTTACTGTTTTTATTCCAAGGTATATTTTGGTTTAAATAAGAGTGATAACTGATAAGACTATTGATTCCGTATTTCCGTATCATGGAGGAAAGCTGTTAGATAAACATTTTTCCATGATTATTTACCTTCTACATAAGTTTATTATTGCTGACATGATAAGGGCTGAACGCACAGTCCATCTATATTATGTCTATGGTATCAATATACTTATAGACTATAGTATTTGCGTTACCGAGCGAAGCGAGGGAAAATTTTTTAGGTACTTATCAACTTTTTTTACGATACGAACAAAACGAACAATTTACAATAATTGTCTGAACATTCGAACTTTTTAACCTGGCAACACTGGTCGCGGTAATTACCCAGTGCCCAGTGGCCAGTTGTCAGTTCACGATCGCTTCCCCGCAGTAAGGCATTTGGCTGGCTTATCATAATATTATAATAACGTTATCATAGAGTTAAACTGCGACAACAGTTAAATTTTTTCTGATCCTATCCAAAAATAATAATTATAATAAAATTGGTTTTTTACGCTTAATTCAAGTATTTGAAAAAATTTCCGGAAACTTCAAAAGTTATGGCAATTCAAAGTTGTCAATATTAAAAAATATAGGTACTTTTGAATGGACGAGCGAGTGACCACGCTGGGAATAAATATACTTAGAAACAATATTGAGGAAAACCGAGGTTTACCTGAGGTAGTTCACACAGCAAATAGGGGGATATTTTCGATTTGCGGAGCGGAGCGACGGCGCCGAGGAGCGTAGCGACGAGTGCCGATACACGCGTAATCGCTGCAACTTTGATATGCCCTAACTTGTGAGAACAGTGAGTTTCCGGAAATTTTTGTAACTGGGAAACGGTGTAGCTGGTGGTACGCAAATTTAAAAAGTTTGAGAACCGCTGGTCTAAAGCCCTGTTCACACGATCAAATAATTTGTCAAATATTTGACATTCTATATTTCATATTATTATTTCTACATTTCATATTATACATCAAATATTTGACAAACTATTTGATCGTGTGAACGGGGCTTAAAGAAACTCAAAATTATACAATACAAACTATTACAAATAATACATTTCTATGTATCAAAATTAGAAAATTCTGAATTTTACATATATTTATATATTTTTTAATTCTATGTTAACGTTATTATTTGATAAGCCAGCCAAATACCTTACTGCGGGGAAGCGCTCGTGTCAGTTAGTACGCAGTCGCGTATTTGTTTTCATTATACAGTAGACGCGGCTTATAAGACTCACTTTGGGACCAGCACAAAGTGAGTCTTATAACCGAATGAATCTTATAGACGAATTGGAAAAAAAAAAATAATTACGTATTTATAAATGTTAGATGAAAATGCATTAGATTAGCACTCATGTTAACAACAAGAAAAGCACGCGTTGAAATTCGAATATATGACATTTTATCTGCGATAAAAATTATTATGCGTTATAAGGTACCACCAGAAACTAGAAAAAATTAACAGGAGTATTATTTATTTTGTCAATACCAATTTATTTCTAAATTATAACCAAAAAAGTTTATTTTCTACTATTTATTTTACGCAATTTGAGTCTTATAACCGAAGTGTTGAGTCTAATAACCGATTTTTTTTAAATGTTTTTGGATACATTCCAGACGATTTTGAGTTTAATAAGCGACTGAACCTTATATCCGTGAGTCTTATAAGCGGCGTCTACTGTACTTATCTATTTAGTGGGGAAATAGTGGAAAATAATGGAAGCCAGTTCCACTAAAGTGAAAGGTAATTATTAGATTATATTTATACCTACTATATGTCTATAAAAATTGTTTTAATAATATTACTAATATTAGTCTTCATCATTTTATTTATAGACAAGGTAAAGAGTCAAAGAGAAGGACCGAAAACCAAAAACCAAAACTTGCAGATGACGAAAAGTAATGGTGGCATGAGATTATTTAGGTTATAATATGAGACATTACCAATTAAGGAACAAATCTAGTTTAGCGGCTCCTCGAAATTTCGATTTTTTTTTTTTGAAACAAGACGAGTTTAGAACGATGGTGCCAAAAAAAATTTGCGGAAATGATTAGTTTTGAAGTTATAAATTTGCGAAGTTCGCGATTTTACGTTGATATGCATGTGCGCGTAAAAAAATGCATTTTGTATCAATTATCTTGTGTAAATGAGGTATTTCAGTTAAAAGTATTAATGCATATTATACAAGACTTTGGAGGACCATAATTAATTACCTAGCGGACCAAAATTGATCATTTGACCTTCAAAATGTTAAGAAAAAAACTATCGGAATCCATAAAAAAATAGTGGTTACAATTTGAAAAAATAAAGTCGATTTTATTATTGGTACAACTGCGTGTTTAAAAATTTTGAAATGTTATAAAAAATTGCCTGTTATAAATAAAGAAACACGTGTTTTTTTTATGTTTTAACGAAATTTCATATCATTGATCCATAATTGTTAAAAAAAACCTGCGTACAATGACATAAGATACACCCTGTATATTTTTTGTATAGTAAAAAAAAAAGTTATTAGGTATTTCTAAGTTTCAACTTCAAATTTAATTCAAACTAAAAATTGAAACATAGGGTAATAAATAAATTATAAATTTATGTATAAATAAGCATGTAACTGAAAATAATGTCCCCAAAGTAGAATAGTCATCAGTCATCACTCTTCAGCTACGTAGTTTTCAAAAGTGCTTTGAAACATTCATCACTATGAGCTTTATCTTTTATTCGTTGACTCCTAAAACTGCACACTTGCGATAAAATTCAGGACAAAAGCGCATACAAATTTAAAATTGTTGGATCCAAAAACAGCATAGGTACTTATGATTTTGACTCCAAAAAGGTCTTTACAATAGTACTTTATAATGTATATGTACAATATTATACAAACAAGATTTAAACAAGTGCTCCTAAAAATAAATATAAAACAGAATACTTTACGACGAAAATTATCAATCATTGTAATTAATAAATTATAAAATGTTCAGTTTTTATAGCTATGGATTGCAAATTTAAAACAAAGGTTCTCATAAATAGGTCATACTGTAACCAAAAAATCTAAAAAATATATTAACACAGTTATTTTTTACAAACATTTAAAATTCAAATTTGGACGAAATTACATATTAAAAAACCTAGAATAACTATTTTAGTTATTTTGTTGTGATTGAATAATATTATTCGTGGGTACTTGAAACTTCTAAAGTGTACTATTATAAATCTATGATAGTATCACGGTTTTTGTTAATGTATAACGCGTTATAAGTACCTAATGGATATTGTGATATGATTAATTTGGAATTTATTATAGGTACCTACCTATTATAGGTAATAATATAATATGTCTTATACCTAGACTGACATACCGTCTCCGCTCAGAATCGTTTTTCTTATACAATGATATTATATCGTTGAATTCAAATTTAATATCATCCATTATACAGTGACCCACTTGTAACCTACTGTACAGCAGAGCGACACCCACTTGCCCACCTTTTTGTTAACACATTGTAATAAAAAAAAAAGGAAAAGAATAATCTGATATTATTGTTTTTAATGTTTAAAATTCAAATAAAAACATCATTAATTTTAAAAAATCCTGATTTAAACAAAGCTAGAATTTTGCCCTCCTCTGTGTACCTATTACCTATGTCCAGGGCCCCGCACCTGCACTGAATATATCTGTGGTCTACGATGACCGATGTAACCTTACACGATGTAACTATAGGCTATACTGCTATAGTATGTATAACATAGTATAATTAATAGTACAATAATATTATTTTGCTTTCATCATTTAATTATATTAACGAAAGATGTAAATAATACTCTTTTGTAATGAACTACGAAAATAATTTTGATACAGCCTACAAAAGGGTGCAAGGGCAACGTTCGCATCTCTTTACTTTATAAATATCCGAAATGAATATTATGTATTTTGTATCGATCGACATTTCACATTTATCCATTGATTACAATTTACAACATTTTTTTTCATTTTAGAATCATTAAATTACAGTGGCGGCTCGTGGGTTTTTAAAGAAGTAGTGTACGTCCAAAAAAAAAAATAGAACCAATATTATAATATATTATATAAGACACGATTGAATTCAAATTTAATAGCATCCATTATACAGTGATCCACTTGTAGCCTACTGTACAGCAGAGCACCTTTTTTTTTATTGTAGATAGGCATAGGCGCAAATAGGGGGGCTTAGGGGGTATTAGCACCCCCAATTTTAAAATTAGCACCCTTAAATAATTTTTGTGTTTATGTATGAAAATTGAAAACGTCTCTTTACAAAAAAAAAAAAAACCTAAAACAGTTTATCATATTAACACAGATTATTTAATCTGTGATATTAATGATATTATTATCATTCGTCAGACACCAGGTTATCACTTATCAGAGTATAATGAATGAAACAATGTTACTCCACAATTGACATTTTGTCGAAGTCTAATCTATTTATAGATCATTATTTATTATTTCCCAATTTTTATCTTCCACTAAACACGGTCGTCGCTGTCGGTTATATTATTATCACTTTCAGCAGCGACTCGAAGCTACGACAATAATGTCAGGCCGAGTATTTACTATTTGCTAAAATAAACATTGAACATTCCCGTGCGGACGTGCCCACATCTAATTTTTACGTCATATTTTTTTTGAATAAAATAGAAAAAAGAATAAAGATGTTTTCAATTTTCAATAAATTAAAAAACGTCAATAACAGTGATTCGAATATAACTTCTAGTAAGTATAAATTATAATTTCTATTCCTCATTTCATTTAGTTTTCTAACATAAATTATTTTGAATAAACATGAAAAACTATTAGACCTAGAACAGCAAAGTGAGCAAGATTTTGATGACAGTTTCACTAATACAATCCAGGAAACTGAAAAAATTGTTTCATTTCCAGTCGATTTAGGAGATTTGAATACCGGACCTAAGCAGCCTGTATTACAAGTCAGTATATCTAATATCTATAAAAATAAAATTATGCAATATATATATATTATAACTTATAATATATTTTTAATACCGGGTTACTTTAGGAATATCCATTAACAAGATTTGGATCTCAAAACAGATCGTTTTCTAGTAAATATTATTCAGAATACGATTGGCTAGAATATAGTATAAGTAAGGACTTAGCATTTTGTTTTTGTTGTCGACATTTTGGCTTGGGAAATAATTGTCAAGACACTTTCACAGAGAAAGGCTTTCAAAATTGGAGAAAAGTATTATATTTTATGCATAATAGGTTTATTCTAGGTACTTAATTTGATTGTTCTTCAATAACTACCAACTGGTTATTACTTCTAATTAGAGATAGAAATATATGAAATATGAATATTTGTTGACTGTTGTAAATAATTTTATTTTAATTAACATTCAAATTATTAGATAAATGAAAAATTGAAATTACATTCTACCCGAAAATACCATATTGTAAGTAAATCAAAATTTGAAGGCTATAAAAGTTCAAAATTACAAGGATCAGTTGTAAGTCAGTTATCAGAAGGATATAAAAAACTAATTCAAGAAAATCGTTACTACTTTTCTCAACTGATTGAAATTTTACTGTATTTGAGTGGGCAAGGTATGGCTTTTAGAGGTCACTCTGAAGAAGAAAATGCCTTGAATCAAGGTATGTTAATTTTTACTAAAACTAAAAAATAAGAACATTGATAATAAATTATTATTTATAATATGAAAATATTAAAGGTAACTTTAAAGAAGCATGCAAATTATTTGCAAAGTTTGATCAAACATTTTCAAATAAATACAATAATTGTACTACAAACTATTCCAGTTGGCTTATACAAAATCAACTCTTAAGTACCTGTGCTGAAAATGTCAGAGAGAATATTATTTTGGATGTACAAACAAATGGGTTTTTTGCATTGATGTGTGACGAAGCTAGGTAATTTCAAATTACAAGTACCTGCTATATTTAAAAACCTATAATGACTACTTAAATTGAAATCAGATTGCTTATGTTGATTCCTTATTCATTAGCAATTAATTAAATCATACAATTTGTTTTTTATTTATTAAAGGAGTTTTAAAGGCCAACAGATGTCTGTATGTGTTAGATACACTGTAGGACTAGAAACTCATGAACGGTTCTTGGGATTTTTGGAAGTCTCTAGAGGGCATAATGCTGATTTTCTGGCTACCGAAATTTTGAAATTTTTAGATAAATCTGGATTAAGTCACTTAAATATAATTGCTCAATCGCATGATGGAGCGGCTGTTATGTCAGGTCATTTAGGGGGTGTTCAGGCAAAAATTAAAGAAAAATACCCCACAGCGATTTTTACTCATTGTATGGCACACCGATTGAACTTGGTTGTGGTTGACATGTGCAAATATATAACGGTATTCATTTTTTTTATAATTTAAAAAAACAAATTTAAGTATAATTGTTTATTATAATTTTATTTATTTAGAGTGCAAGGAGTTTATTTAATGCGTTGGAATCAATACATATCTATTTTTCATTTCCTTCAAAAAATATTAAGCTGCAAGACATACAAAATGATTTGGGACTTAAAAATAGATCTATGACCCATTTATCTGACACACGTTGGGTTTGCAGATACAAAAACTGTGATGTTGTTTTAAATAATTTTACAGCAATTCTACAAGTATTAAATGAAGAAATTGAAGCCAATTTTGACAGGAATGTCAGTCAAGCTATTGGTAAAGTATAAAATGTATTAATTATTTAAAAATCTTAATTAAATATTAAAAAATAAATATTAATTGTTGGTGTATAAACTATAAACACTAAATAATGAATAATTTTTTACAAAATATTATTATTCTTTTTTTTAGGTATTTATTCAACTATCACTAAAGGATTGTTTATTGTGAACTTATTTGTTTTTCATGATGTATTGATTGTAATTAATGTACTGAGCAATAAATTACAACAAAAAACCGCAACTCTAGGGAAAGCGGCCGGAATTATTAAAGCTGTGATTGAGACTTTTGAAAAAAAAAGAAATGATGATTCATTTTTGGTATTATGGAGAAAAATAAAAGAGTTTACTGACAACCATGAAATTTCTTTAGAACTACCTTTGAAAAGTATGTAGTTAATGAAATGTTTAAGATTTGTAATAATGCCTACTGTCATTATAGAATTGCACACATTTTTACCATTACTCTTGTATTTTTAGATTCCAAAAGAATAAGAAAAGAACCACACAGCTTGAAAGAATTTTATCTAAATACATCAACATCTGCCGATAATGAAAGTCTTGATGATTCTGTTGAAAAATATTGGAAAAATCAAGTATATTTTGTTATACTTGATACTGTGATAATTAATTTAAAGAAACGTTTTTCTGATGAAAGTTTGATATTGGCTTCTGCTGTAGATAACTTTTTCTTGATGAATTTTGATGAAAGTCAACCATTTATTAACGATTTCAAAGTCAAAATAAATTCCTAGCTAACAACATTGTACGTTTATAACATTGCATTACCTTGTATACAATTCCAGGGTTTATTTAATATTGAAACTGAATCACTCAAAGCAGAAATGATGGTTGCGAAAAATTGTTTAAAACAGATAAACAAAGATTTTGATTTGATACACTTAAAAAGTATAATAGAAAAAATTGTATATCCAAATGTATACAAGTTATTACAAGTAATTTATCATTTATCAACCTTTTTTTACTTTATTATAACTAAAATTAATTATAAAATAGTAATGAAGAATGTATCAATTTTAGGTGGCACTCACACTACCAATTAGTTCTGCAACATGCGAACGATCATTTTCTGCTTTACGCAAGATAAAGTCGTGGCTTAGAGTTTCAATGGGCCAGGACAGATTAACGGATTTGTCAATTCTATATATAGAAAAAGATTTGACAAAATTAATTAATGTTAATAAAGTTATTGACTCATTTGCAGAAAAAGACAGACGTATAAATCTTGTATAAACTTATACTTAATTCTTGTTCCTGTAAATTCTAATATTTATTGACTATTGTATTAATTTTTAAAAATGGAATAAACTAAAATTTAATATTCAATGTTAAATTGTTATAAAACATTTTTGCTCGAAAAAGTCATTAATGCCTCATAGTTATAATTTAATTTTAATTTACAGAAAATGCAGAGCTTAAGCACCCTCAGTTTTTTTATTGAAATTGCGCCTATGTAGATAGGGTTAACTGGGGTAAATGTATAAACAATATTATGTTAGGCATGACAAATTAGATAGGTATCTTCACAGTTGTAGTAGTTTTAAGCAGTAGATACGCATCTTCTTCACCTCCGGCCACTATTGGTTGATTTTGTTCTATGTTATATATGTATATATATGATTGACAGCCAATAAGAAGTGGAGAACTACGATAATGGCGAAGTAAAGAGCGGAGGATGCGTATCAAAATACTGTGATGATTCAACGATTAAAGATATTATACAGGTTGCCCTATAATAAACGACTTTCAGATTGATTTACAAAGTGACTATATAAAACAGCTGTTAATAATTAACTAGTGGCGCTTGATGTCAACTCTCAAAAATATATATCGACATTTAGAACTAATTTTACACCTTTAAAATCTTTTATATCTATAATCGGTTAATTGTAACTTGGAGCTCCACTGGTTAATTATTGGTAGGTAGTAACACAGAATAGATGAAATCAGAAAGGACACTTAAAGCAAGGACCGTTTTGCATGTAGTTGGGGTGGTAGCCGCCATCTTCTTATTTGTGCTGTCAGAAAATTTGTTAGCTTATGAAATTAAGTTGTAATGAACACTAGTCTATCAGACATCGCTTTTGTGTATACTCGTGGCCTATCGCTATTTCGCAATTCATTTTTCACAATTTCACATATTATTCTGCGCTTGTGTTAATTGTTATTTGCATTAATTGAATTTTTTTTTGTCAATTGTTTGTGTTTGTTGGTGTATTAATATTTACAATGAATACATTAAATATTCCAAAGAATTACATCAAATGTTCGTATGTAGGTTGTCAAAACAAAATATGAGTTGAATCCTGGACTGAATGACTTTTTATTTGAATTTTAAACCAGAAGCACTTGATTGCACTTTATGCGCTGATGAAATGGCACTTAAAACGCATTTGTTTTATTCATTGAGAAAGGATGAAATTATCGGATTCCATCAAACAAATTCAACAAAAACTTATGATCCGGCTAAATTTGCATTTGTGTTGATGATTTGTGGAATTAATGTTCAATGGAAACTACCTATTGCATATTTTTTGGTATCTTGCAGTTGTACTGGAAATTACTTACATAACATTATTATGTCTATTATTGCTAAATTTCAAAATATTTCTTTGAATGTCAAAGCATTTATAACTGACCAAGGCTCCAATTTCCTGAAATTCAAGTCATTCTCTTTGTCGCTCACTAAATTAAGTTACTTAATTACTGAAGCTTTAGGGCCATACTTCGAGGACATCATGATAAAAGATGTTCAGAAGTCTTTTTATTCTATTCTTTTTGATGAGACTACAAATTCTGAAAACGAAAAAGAACTTCAAATTTGTTTAAGATATTGGTCTGAAAAAGAAAAAGAAATTACAGTTAAACATTTAGAAACATTTTTTTTAGGACGCGCTACAGGAGAAATATTGTCTGAACATATTCTTAAAGCATTAAGTAATTCCTTTGATAAATATGTTAACAATTGGCAGTGATGGCCCTAATGTTAACAAAACAGTAAAACGAATAATAAATAAAGAATTTTTAAGTGTTGCTAAGTATAATTTATTGGATATAGGTAGTTGTAATATACATACAGTACATAATGCATTTCTAAAGGGATTAGAAAAGCTTGGAGAGGAGTCATCTGATCTCTGTATATTAATTTTTCACTATTTTGATGGATTTCCAAGTAGAGTAGAAGATTATGTAAATATTCAAGTTAAATTAAATGTTCCTGAGAAAAAGTTTATTAAACATGTACCGTCTCGATGGTTAACATTAAAGGATTCATGTAATAGATTATATGAACAATTTGCAGCTGTAGAAGAATATTTCTTAAAATTCATTCCAATGAAACATCCATCCCAGGCTAAGACATCGTCGTTTCAAAAAATTCGTTCTAAATTGAGCTCTCCAATTTATAAAATAGAACTATTTTTGTTATAAGTAGCGCAGAAATTTTTGGTAATTTTAATAAACATTTCCAAAAATCTGAACCTCTAATGTATATATTGTATAATGAATTAAAGTTACTAGTTCTTACACTCGTTAGTAGAGTATGCAAAAATAGCATTTTGCAAAAATTAAGTAGTATAGATTACATTATGGATATTGTGTTTGAAAAAGATAATCTTTTGCCGTTGACAGATATTTTTGTAAGTGATTCAATAAGTATTCACCTAAATAAACTTAAGAAAATAGAAAGATTGGAATTTCTTAGTTCTGTGCAAAACCATTATATTGCTTGTTGTAAACATTTAGTCAAAAAGTCTTCCTTTCTTTTTAATGAATCATTAATAAAACACATGAGATTTTTACAACCAGCTGAGCAAAAAAAAGAGCGAAGTTGTTTAGACATAATTAAAATTGCTCGGTCACTTCCATTTGATGTGCCAATTGATTGCCTTGTAGATAAATGGAAGTTACTACAGCTAGAATCTTTGGAAAATATAAGTGAAACTTCTAGAATTGATCATTATTGGAGGCAGTTTATATATATTGAAGATAATTCAAAAAATTTAAAATATCCTATAACTTCTAAAATTATAAAAGCATCACTTTCATTAAGACATGGAAATGCTGACGTTGAAAGTGGTTTTTCCAACTCTGGTAGAGTTCTAACTGATGAAAAAACGGCCATGTCATTAAGAATGTTAAATGCTCGATTATACATTAAAGATTCATTAAAATGTTTTTCTAATAAACCAGAGTTAGTGCCTTCTATCTAGGAACTTCTATAACTATCAAAGTCAGCAAATTCTTCCTATAAAAATTATTTAGAAGAAAAAAAAAACAAAAACTTGAAAAAGCATATAAAAAATATGAAGATGAAAATAAGTTGAGGATGGAAAAAGAACTACAATTGAATAATAAAAATAAAAAACGAAATTTGGAAGAAATGGAAGAGAAATTAAAGTTATATAAAAAAGCATATAGAGAACAAAAAGAGGGCAATGACAAATTAAATGAAGAGGCATTAGAAAGAATGAAAAAAAGCATTATAAAAGGAGATCTAAAAGAAATAAAAATAGCTCAGTCGTTACAAGAAGGAATTTTATCATTAAAAAAAACAGAAGAAAAATTAAAGGAACTAAAAGAGGTAGATAATTTTAAACAAAAATTAATTACAACATTGTTAGAACAAAAATAAATATTCATTGTTATTTTATTTATATTATTATTTTATATTTTGTATAAGTTATTTTAATTATCAAACAGAAAGTTACTGTAAATTTAACTAAAAAAATGTTAATATTGTTTTAATTGTTAGTAATAGTAGTTTTATTATGTTAAAAATCAATATTTGTATACTAAGTTATGACAGCATAGTATACACTGTAAGAATAAATTAATAATATTTCAGTTAAATAATAATATAGTTTTATGTCTTTTATTATTTCTATCCTCTAATTAATTGTATACTAAATTAAATTAATATACTTATTTAATAATCTAAAATAATAATAAAAAATATTGGTCACTTTTTTAAATTTTTTAGTCAATTTTTCAACTACCTATTTCCAATTTTAAACTCTAGTGGCAACCCTACACTTGCAAAAACGTTATTGAACAGGAGGTGGTTATTTGGACCACTAACCTGTCTCGCCATACCAAAGAATTGCTAATTGACAATAAAATAAATTTAAAAAGTGTATATAATAGATTATAATATTATGTATGTAGCAACTATACTATTAGTTTTAAAATATTTATTTTAAATTCTATTTTTGGGTATTTTTTTAAGGTAAAAACTTTTCAATTGAATTTGGCAAAACCAATAAAAACTAATAATATTGTTACTAATAATTACTATTGTATTAAAAATTCAGTTCTTATTTTACTTCTAGTCGGTTTTGATTATATTTAGCAGACAAAATATATTTAAATTTGCATTCCTCCAATAAATATTTTGATAATTCAATAGTTGACTTGATAGTAACCCTTGTTCTCACCAAAGAAACTTGCAACTGCAACTTGATCTTGCAACTCGTCGGGTTGCAATCGAATTTAAATTGCGTTGCGGTCATTGTTCTCATTGATGCAACTATTTTTGGTTTTGTTGTTCAGTCTCGCTCTAGCTCAATCTATCTCAATAGTTGTTATACGTTTGACTTAGTCTGTAATTAAAATTTTTTTTTTGTATTTTAATATGTCTTCATCTGAGGATGACATTGTTGTTGCATATTTATACTTAAAAAAACGAAATAGACAAAACAAAAAGCGATTTTGGGTTCATCCACACTATGTCAAGAATATATGCTACACTACATTTATTGTGTCAAGAGAATTGGATCAAGATCCAGAAAAGTTTTATGGATATTATCGCATGAATCCCGAAACATTTAAAATCCTTGTAAGTTTAGTAGAAACCAATATAAGGAAAAAGGATACTAATTTTCGTCAAGCAGTAAGCGTGTCCGATTGCGGAGCTGTTAAATTACCTATTTGTTTTCTTCCGCTTTTAATGAATGGCATAAGAAACTGCAAAGCGTCGTTCAAATAATATTTTTTCGAAAAGTGATCAGCTTGTGATCCACTTGGTGTTTTTTTTCTTAAATGACGTAGAAAAACAGTCCTTAAATTTCTCCATTTTTCCTTACAAACTGCAACTGAAAAGTGAAAATGCTTTCTTTAAATCAAATAATAATTTAAAAAAGTAACCCCAATACGCGTATACGCACGTATACCTACTTCATAAATAGAACAAAATGTAGGTACCTACCTATAAAATAAATTCCAAATTAATCAAATTAGATTCATTATGTTACGTGGAACCTTGCTTCAAATTTTCAATCCTTAGCTATAAAAGTTAAACATTTTATACATTTTTAACAACTAAATAATTAGTAAATTTTCAATTAAACAAATATAGTCAAAATTTGAACTTTAAATGGTTATAAAAAAATTCGTGCCTAGGTATTTTTAATATTTCCATACTGCTATTATATTAATTTATGGGGAACCTTGTATTAAATTTTCAAGTTTTTTGACCCAACGAATACAATTTTATTGACATGAATAGAATAAAAAACTAAAATAATGAAAAATTTCAAATGTCTATAAATAACTTAAAAAGATTTGAAATTTTTCGAAAATTTTATCATGTATAGAAAATGCTGTTTTTACGGTAATTGGTTTTAGAGTTACACCAATATCTAAAATCGATTTTTATAAAATTTGATTTTGCGTAAAAATTCCCGTTTTTCTTTAATTTTTTTTTGGTTTTTCCTGGTGCTTTTGAAAAATTTTTTTCAATTGAAAAGATCATCGATCAAGGAATATACAGCTGTTCTCAATTTTTAATGAATGAATTACCGATAAATAATCAAGAATTTTAAGTTCAACCTCAACCTCAAAAGGCAAGAGCAAATTCTCAAGCCCAACAATTACGGGAAAAGTGATTATTTTATGACACCTACTGGTGAGATTTCGTATCAATGGAATATTTAATATATAAATGGATTTTACATATAAGATACAAGAGTGTTTCTATTTACATTGTACCTAATTAAACTTAATTATTTGTAATTATAAATTCATATTACTTATCCATTTCCATAAAAAATTATTATACTAAAATGTATTTTATTATAGTTGGTAGGTACTGTATAAATAAATAATATAATATAATAAATTAAAAATATACTAACAAGATTCGTTAGTTTGTTTAGCTATATCTTCCCAAGCTCTTTGCATGTCGAGTTGCTTTAGGCGGGCCACACACCAGAGAAATTATAAACACGAAACTTTTTATATGCAATCGGTTTCGGAAACTAGTTTCACGTTGATCTGTATATTGAAGAAATTTAAACAATGAAACTGTAGAATAAACGAAATATGATTAGTTTTCAAAATGTCGTCTGACGAGGACGACGTGATTTTTCTTTGGTGGTGGGCACGTCAAAAAAAAATTTCAAAAAAACGTCGTTATTGGGTACATCCGATAAATTTATCTAATATAAGTTCTAGTACTAGTGTTGTTGCAAATGAATTACATAGCGATCCAGATAAATTTAAAACATTTTACCGCATGAGTAAAAGTAATTTTGATAATTTAGTACATATAGTTGGGCCAAAAATCTTCAAAAAAGATACAAACTTCAGGATTGCAGTACCAGTAGAAGAAAGAATTTTACTTACATTACGGTAATTACATACATTACAACTAATTTATTGTTTGAAAAGTAATTTCTATATTATAATTTAATTTTAATTTTAATTTTTCATTATAATATAATTATTAAAAAAAAATATACAACAAGTATTTAAATATATAAGTATATAAGTATGTTTTAAGCATGTTTCGTTAGTTTTATAAATATGTGCATAAAAAATAATACTGTATACATCATTCAGGCATCAGGCATGTAGTATCCTTGATTCGTCGTATTCGAATTGTTCACGTTAGTCAAATTGTTTGTCAATGTTGTTTCTGATGATGAAGTTTGATTCCATGGTACATAATCAAGTCCTGATGAGGATTCGCTAACCCATGAACTAAGTGGTGTAGAGCACAAGCTTGTGTTGTTACCATGACTAGTATCCTGTGTAGTTTTTAAGATATCATCAATCAAAAAATTCACCTGAGTACGAAATTTTCTAAATTGAATATTATTCATTTCATTCAAATCTGGAAGTAAACTCAACAAAAATAATTTTTTTGGATTTTCCTCTGAAGTACGTTGTTTAGCCTTAATATAATCCATTACACATTCATCGACACTAGTGATATTATTTGAATTTTTCTTCTTTTTCAAGGGCGGTTCAATGCCAACGACTTTATTTTCTACAATATTATTTGTACTAATTGTACTTGTTGAAGGAATTTCTTCGGTTATTGTTATGTCATTGCATACATCTGTATTATTGTAGTTGTCTTGATAAGATGATGCGCCTTGATCGTTGTCATTGTCATGTGTAGGAGAAGGTAAATTTCCCGGTAGTGAATTTCCTTTTTTCAAGTTCAGATAAGGTCTTATGAACTGCATCTTGTCTGTAAGGTAATATTTTTTTTTTGCAGCTGATCCACTTTTTTTGGTAATATTTCTTGTAAATACAATCCGTAAATTCCTCCACGTCTCTTTACAGTTTATAACTAAACAAATGTATACATTATTAATTAATATCGATTGGCTTATTATTTGTACGTATCCCCCATAGCGGACGATATGGGAAATATTTTTAAAAATGCCTCTGATAATTGAAACTAGATTATTAAAAAATATTAAAAAATTGAATTAGTCTATTAAAAAAATATTTTTTCAGATTTTTAGCCACTGGGTGTAATTTTAGAGCATTGGCTCAACATTTTATGAGAGGAGAGACAACTGTTGGTAAAATAATTGCAGAAACGACAGAAGCTATTTGGGAGTGTCTACAACCTACCTATTTACCAGTACCAAGTTTAGAACTATGGAAAAATATTGCTGCACGTTATGATCTCTTATGGCAACTACCTCATTGTTTGGGCTCAATCGACGGCAAACACATACGCATAAAAAAATTCAATAACACAGGATCAAGAAATTTTAATTATAAAGGTTTTTTTTCAATACAACTACTTGCTTGTGCAGACGCAGACGGCTGTTTTATCACTGTGGATATTGGTGATTTGGGTAGAAATAGTGATGGGGGTGTATTTAGATTGTCTCGTTTGGGTAGATGGTTAGAAATTGGAGGAATGAACATTCCACAATCAGAACCTTTACCATACGACAACGAAGGTCCCAATTTTCCATATTATTTTTGTGGGGATGAAGCTTTTCCTTTAAAATCTTATTTGCTACGACCATATCCAAAGAAGACTTTAAACGATCAAAAACGAATTTTCAATTACAGATTAAGTAGAGGTAGAAAATCAGTCGAATGCGCCTTTGGAATGATGGTTTCCAAGTTCAGAGTTTTTGAAACACCAATCGCGTGTTCTGAGTCAACTGTAATATCTATTGTAAAATGTGCTTGCGCTTTTCACAATTACATACGTAAAACTGAGGGAAAGTTATATGAATCACAAAATATGGACAGTCAAGATGAAATTAATATTCCTCAGCATTTAGCTCAACACCAACAAGCAGTTCATAATTTATCGACAGCAAGTTCTGTGCGAGAATATTTATCAAATTATTTTTTAAGACCAGAAGTTTCATTACCGTGGCAGTGGAAATACACAGTTGAACAAAACATTTAGTACCTATCTATTATAATATTAAACATACTTTTAGTTATATTCAGTAGCTAATTGTTATGTTTCTTTTATTATCAACATAATTTTGTAAGTGATATAAATAATAACAAGATACCCAATCTGATGTTCCCTAACTTGTTTTTACATTTTTAAAAAATCGTTTTTTACATACTACAATAATTACAATATATCAATAATAATCATTATAATATTTACTATACAAAATAGTTATTTATATTAACACTAACCTGTATCGTTTACTTCTTTAGCAATACTTTCCCAAGCTAGTTGGGTTGACTCACGTTTGCTATATTCGTTTATATTATAGTTGTACAAACATGGATATTTTTCTACTGCTTCAACTAATAGTGTATTAAAGACAGGATCTTCTTTTTTCGGCATTTTTAATTAACTACAGAATATTATGTTGAACAAAAAATATATGAATATAAATAAATAATCATATAAAGTATAATTTAAAGTATGATTTTGTTTTATTGATTAGCTTAAAAACTTACTTTATTTCAGTACGTGGAAAAATTCGAAAAAAATATTGTATACTAGTACTAGTATTTTAAGTATTAATATATTAATAATAAATATTTATATTTATTTTAAATATTGAATAGTTAATAAGTTTATAAATCAAATTATATGATAGAGCATAATTCACTCAGTAAAGACTAAAAACGTGCATACTGTGTGAAAATGTTCATGAAACTGAAACAATGAAACCAGAATAACAAATTTCGTGTTATCAATTTCGTAAACTATAAATAAAAATAGTTGCATGAAACTCGGTGTGTATTTCCCTATGCAAATATATCGGCTAGTTTCATGCAATTATAGTTTCATGTTTCATGTTATAAGTTTCGTGTTTATAATTTCTCCGGTGTGTGGCCCGCCTTAAAGTAAGTTTCAAATAAGTTTCGTGCAAGTTGGATCACTTTTCAACCGGTGAGAACATGTTCATCAGTTTTAGTGAGCGCGGTCGCGTTGCAGTTGCGTTTCAATCTAGTTGCAGTTGCAAGTTGCTTTGGTGAAAAAAATCCCTTAGGTCGTGTTCTCACCAAAAGCAACTGATGACGGCAACGCAACCGCGACGCAACGCGACATGTATTATTACGGCCCTCCGCACACGGTAAAACTGTTTTGCAACGAGAATCTCAAATCAGTTGCGTGAGCGATTGTTGTGCAATTGGTTTGCAATCAATTTATGTATTACTCCGCCCACGAGTTCGATCGAATTTCGACCAGTGTACGCAGTTGTATGCGAATTGATGTTGGGAAAGAACGTGCGTTTTTTAAAGTTTTTCAAAGTTTTTTTTATAGTTAAACATTAAACTTTTGCAATATGTCAAGTAGTTCTGATGAAGATGATAAAATTGACTACTATCAGTACCTTAGACAACGAAAATTAGTACGAAGGGAATATTGGACCCATCCATATATAGAGAAAAATATGAAATGCAGGCTGTTTATAGGAATCTAGGAAAAAAAATCCCCTTATCTATAACTAATAGTTGGATACAGCTGTAAAAGTGTAAAAAATAATATTGAATACCTAGGTAATAAAAAAAATTAAAACAATATAAAATGTGAATGATAATCATTATAATAATATCTAGTTCTGCATAAAATAAAAATAACTATAATAGTAATACAAATATATAAAATTAGTTTAAAAAGTTGATCTCTTGCGTATATTATTACTCACAGCTGTCAAAAATTCTCCAATGGTTATGTTACCTTCATTTTGTCTTTTGACTAATTCTTTGAGACGGATGTTTATAGTTTTATAGTGGCCTCTTTTTGTACTACTCTCTTCGGGTTCACCTAAAGCATCTATTGCTAACTTTGCTCGATCGGCGTTAATTTCATTTTTAATTTTTCTAATCAGTTTCCATATTGTGGGATGTTTTTGACCAACTAGTTTTGAGAACCTATTGTTCCATCCTTCAACAATGTTGTTGGTTCTGTTGCAGTTATTGAGGGTACTTTCATTTACGTTCCATACAGCCGGAGGGTACATCGGTGGTAGTTTTCGAAACCTAATATTATTTTCATCACTTCCTATTCTTCGATATTTGCCATTAACGTAGTATGCATCAAAATAATCTAATAGATCTGTGAGGTTTTCAGGTAAATTGTCTTTTAAATACGTCATTCCTTCTTCTACAAGGTGCAAAGGAAGGAATGCAAGTGCGTCAACCATTCCACAATGTTTCCGAAATTCTTCATCTCTTTTGTACATTGTGGCTAGACCGAGTTCTTGCACTTTTCGGAACGTTGATTGGCACAAATGATAGAAGCAGTCTCTTACATTTATATGAAAACCTAATACTTCTTTTGCTGCTTCAATAACTTTCAAAATCAAGGTGTAAGTATTTGGGGTCGGGATATAAATTTCGTTTAGCGCATTCTTCCATTATAATTTGGAACATTTCCACGTATGTAGATTTAGTTTTTCTTTGTAAAATACAATAAATAGAAGTTAAAAATACATTTTATTTTTTTATACGTATTACGTATAACTGTAAGAAACATTTTGGGGACAATCCGAAATTCCCGTCTAAGTACCAGGTGTCTGATTCTGTAAGGAGTTTTAAATGATCATCTGTTGCAAACATAACTAATCTTTCAGATGCCCCTGGACCATTGTCCCTCAATAATAGTCTATCATCATTAATAAAAGCCCATTCACCTATAAAAATAGATTTAATCATTGTTAACTAATTGTATTTCTCCTAAATATATAATAATATCCATTTGCCCATTCATTTATAACTGTAAGTTCTGACAAACACGATGGTTTTTTGGGATTACCTTTATTTTTTTAGCGAAGCAACATTCTTTTGATTGTTTCTTCATTGGCGAAAGATGTTAACGCCTGCTCTGGCACCTGATTAATTACTTCAGCGAAAATTTGTGATCGAGTTGACGTTGAAAATGTTGAAACGCGTTTTAACATTTCAACCTTGGCTTTTTCGACAGTTTCTAAATTCTCATCACCAGCATGCGAATGTAGAACCTCAATTGTTGGATTTTTATAATCTAATTAAATATTTAAACGTGTTTTATTAAAAATATAAAATATATTTTTTTTTTAATTTTTTAAGCTTACCATTGGAAGTTACTAAAATTCCCGGACATTTTTTTGAAATTTTAATGGAACATTTCCACCGAATACTTGAAATTAGATTATGATGAACCGTATATGCATATCCGTCAAATAAATTTTTTTATTTTCTGCTACTACAAAAACCTCCATTTCAACCTCCATCTCAACTAAATAGCGTCTCGGGATACACTGACAAAGTGACAAATTCAATTTATAATTCAAGCCCGATACGTCCCTCATGAAATCGATTATATCGATGAGATAAATGTACATGATACTATAGGTACCTATTTAATATATTATTTAGATTTATATTATTATCGTGGTATTGATTATCGTTATTACTTATTGTAGTATGTAGGTATAATCATATGGTAGATAAACTGTAGACATACTTCCAAGGTAAACATTAGATAGATATAGCCATAGCCATATCCATACCACCATAATAGACAATTTTTTATTTTCGGACTTTTTGTCCGACAGTAAAAATTTACTCGGACTTTTTGTCCGGCAATCAAAAAATGAATCCGGACTTTTAGTCCAACTTTTTTTATTCCGGACTTTTCGTCCGGGATTCAATTAATCTTGTATAAACAATGTACATACAATTAAGATACATTATCAAATAGATTTATCACATTATTTATTAAATAAGTAAAATTAAAAGTAATAATAATCATATAACAAATAAGACATATATATTAAATTAAATTATAGTATTCCATTGATATGGAATAGAACCAGTGGGTGTCATAAAATATTCACATAATTTTTCTCTGTTTTGTTGTGCCTCTGATAACGATCTTACTTGTCTCTCGAGATTTTGTTGAGCCTGAACTTGTCGATTTTCTTGTTGTGTGTCAAATATTTTAGGATGAGAAAATATTCCTTGTTTGATACGAATATAATTATGTAGGACACAAGCAGCTTCTATAATATTATTTATAGTTTCTTCCTTACAACAAATTGGCCCTTCAAATAAACAAAACTTGGATACCAACATACCAAAAGCACACTCAACGCTTTTTCGGCCTCTAGAAAGTCTATAATTAAATACCCTTTTTTTTATTATCCAAACTTCGTTTTGGATAAGGTCTCTTTAAATATTTAGTGAGGGGGAAAGCTTCATCGGCGACAAAATAAAATGGAAAATTATTTTCAATATTACTTGAAGGTGAAGGTCTAGGAGGTGGTAATTGTAATATGTCTAAATTTAAAGCACATCCAAGATTTGAAGTTCGAAATACAGCACCATCACTATTTCTTCCAACTTCACCAACATCTATGGTTGTAAATAATCCATCGGCAACGACACAAGCCATGAGCACAATAGAAAAATACCCTTTATAATTGAAATATGTTGATCTTGTGTTCGGTAAACATTTTATTCGAAAATTTTTACCGTCAATAGCGCCCACACAATTCGGGATATTCCATAGCCCAAAAATCTGACAGAAATTTGTAACTATTTTTCTTGTGATGACGAATCCAAATACTTTGGTTGTAGTACAGTCCAAATATTTTCAGTTGTGTTTGAAATAATGGTACTAATTGTTGTAAGTCCTCTCATAAAATGATATGTCATAGCTCTATAACTAACGCCTGTTTGCCATAATCCTAAAAAAAGTTTAATATATTATTGATGAACAATCTTTTTTCAAAAGGAAAGTTTTGGATGTCATCGGTTGTATTTTAGAGGATCAAGGTTCATTAAATCCATCTAGTCATTCAAGTTCTTCTAGTTATTCTACATTATCGACAGTACCAGAGGCAAGAACTGATAATACAGGTAATCAATATCAACAATTTGATCCAGCAAAGAGTGGTTTTGAATTTTTTAATATATGATAAAAATATTTTTTTTACCTAATTTGTATAAAAACTGTTATGTTTTGTGAGAGTTTTCACGATAATTTACATTCTAATATTTCTATTTTTTTTTTTAATTTAATAAAAGTTTATTATTTTATTTTTTTTGATTATTCTAAAAATAAAAAATATAATAAAGTTTAGTTGCATTTAATTGAATTATTACCTTATTGTTATTAGAAGTCTTTCTTTAACAGACACTGCTTTTCGATAGTTGGTATCTTTTTTTTGAATTGAAGTCTTCATTAGTTTTATTGGTTCTTGAAAACTTTCAATACTCATTCTATAAAAACCATGAAATTTAGCTTGGTCTTGGTCTAATTCTCTTGTTAGTATAAATGAACTGTGGTTGGCGTTGAGTGAATAATATAGATGAACCCAATTTTTAATTTTTTTTTTGTTTTTTATACCTCAAATACATAAATGCTACAACCATATCCTCATTGGATGAAGACATTTTGATAACTGAATATGCATTGAAGTTTCATATTAATTTTTTAGATGAGAACAACTGGGCAACTCAACTGCAACTAGACTCGAATCTCTATCGCGTTGGCGTTGCCATCATCAGTTGCTTTTGGTGAGAACACGGCCTTAAATCATCCCCAGTTGAGATTATCTTCTTAAATCTAATTATATAAATAATATAAATGTATAATAAAAACATAACATTCGGGCTATTTATTATAATTTATTGTACTTTATTAAGAAAACCTCAAAGTCTTTGCTATTTATTTTTATACCCTTTGCAGGGTGTTTTCAATTTAAAGCATCAAACAATTTGTTAAATCGATCAGTGAATGATTGTGTTTCATAACTATTTTTTAAGCTCTCTATTTTAGCATACTCCCTGTAAAATTCAATTCCTCTGGCCATTGAGTTACTAAAAATCTAAATAAAACACAAATTTATCGTCAATAATATTGATAAAACTGTTCAATAAAAATCTATTAAAACATATTTACTTGTGCAGCCAATTTAACTTTTATCTTACTAAAACTATCAATTAATACATGCCTATGTGTGATTTTAGGGCACACTTTAGTTGGTGCATTAGAACTATTTTTAAAATCATTGTTAAAGACTTCAACGTAATCATTCCATCTAATGTAGGGTTTCTTTTGGTGATTCCTATAAATTATTTGAGAGTATTAGGTTTTAAATCATTTTTATAATACATACAATTATAAGATATTTACTCTTAAACTTTTTTTGTTATATAATCTATTCCATACATTCTTGAAAAGATGGGGTGCATCACAGAACACATAAATGTCTTTTATTGTCCAAAGGATGGTCAAGTTTATTTTTAAAGTATCTTTTTCACCACTTACTCCCAGTTCAGACGATAATTTTCTATTACTAGTTGCTCCGTCTGATACTAATCCATCCACCTTAGCACCAGCATTCTCTAGAAGCCAAATCGCTTTTATGACTAACTGAGCCAAAACTGTACCTATGATTATTAAAATGGTTATATTTAATAATTACTAAGTATTTTGAGAAACATTAATAACTTACTATTCATGTCCATTTCCCCAACCCCACTCTAATGGGATTTCTAAAATTTTTTTTTCATTCGATTGTGCTCCGTTAGTGCTGTTTGTTCTACTTGGTTTGTGCTAAGACCCTAACTCTACTAATCAAATCTCAATTAACTTCCGAGAAAAATCAATTACCATTTCGGGGGTCTAACATTTTATTAGCTTACAATATCTGATACAAAATATTTTAACAATCTTCTAATTATATTTGACTTCAATCATGTTTATGAAGATGTTTGATGAAAAAAAATACTATTTTACTTCAAAAATATATTTTATATTTTATACAAGAAAATTGCAGGAGTTATCACTTTTCAACTTAAGGAATTTACATAATTTGAAACAAAATTAAGATCTTATCTTTATTTATTGTAATAATTTATACTAAAGAAAAAAATGTATATTTGATAAAAATACCTTGATAGAATATAAAAAGAATATAAAAAGAAATAAAAAAAAATTTTTATAAAATAAAATATTGATATTCAAATTTTTATTAATATTCTTAGATTTCTATTTAGATTTTTTTTTTATTAAATAAAGGTTTTAGATTCTGAGTGGAACGATGAATGTATTGATTTTACAATGATGTGTGTTTTTATATATTTTTTTTTATTTTTTTATTTTTGTGTCTGTGTACACGATAAGTAGTCGAAATAATGCTTCGATTTTCGACTTCAGTATCTTGTTCGATTGGAAAGTGAATATCGTTGGTGCATTTTCAAAAGCGCCAAGAAAAACAAAAGAAAAATTAAGGAAAAACGGGAATTTTTACGCAAAATCGATTTTTCAGAAAATTGAATTTGGTTTTTGGTGTAACTTTAAAACAAATGACCGTAGAAGCATGAAATTTTCACTGGTTGTTTATATTTGCATTTTCTATACACAACAACATTTTCAAAATATTTTGAACTGTTTAGGGACATTTTAATTTTTCATTTTTTTTTAGTTTTTTTTCTAGAAATATCAATAAAATTTTATTTGTTGGTTAAAAAAAACTTGAAAATTTAATAGAAGGCTTCTAGTATATTGTTTCAAAGGCAGATGAAAAATATTAAAAACCGTTAGTCAAAGTTTTTTTTTATAAGCATTTAAAGTTCAAAAATTGACAAAATATTTAAAAATCACGAAAATTAGCAAATTATTTTGAGTTAAGAATTCGTAAAAATTTTTCTTTTTAAATCTAAGATTTTAAAATGTAATACAAGATTCGTTATAAGATTATCTACCTTTATCAAAAAAAAAATGTCTATAAGAAAGTCATATTAAATTTTTATGAGCGTTTAAAATTCAAATTTTTACAACATTGGATATTCACTCGATTTCTCATGTAGCGATTTCCTTATTTTGTTGTAATTCAAAAACGAATAACTGTAGATACATGGAAATTTCCCTAAATGTTTATATTAGCATTTACTATTCCCAATACAGTTTTGAAAATATTTTGAATCTTTTTGGGCTGTTTACGGACATTTTAAGTTTTAAATTTTTTTAGTTTTTTTTTCTATAAATATCAATAAAGTTTTTTCTGTTGGGCCAAAAAGTGTAAAAGTTTAATTTAAGGCTCCTGATATATTGTTACAATATCAGTTGAAAAATATTAAAAATACATATGCATAGTTTTTTTTTATAAGCATTTAAATATCGAATTTTGACAAAATTTATCAAAATCTCGAAAATTATCAATCATTGTAATTAATAAATTATAAAATGTTCAGTTTTTATAGCTAAGGATTGAAAATTTAAAACAAAGGTTCTCATAAATAGGTCATACTGTAACCAAAAAATCTAAAAAATACAGTAGCACAGTTTATTTTTATAGTCATTTTAAGTTCAAATTTGGACGAAATTACATAATAAAAAACCTAGAACAACTATTTTAGTTATTTTGTTGTGATTGTATAATATTATTCGTGGGTACTTGAAACTTCTAAAGCAGTGGCGCAACCAGGATTTTTTTAAGGGGGGGGTCCAAAAATATAATTATTTTAAAGTAGCATGCAAATTTAATTATTATAAACATAAAAAATAAAGTTATGTACAATGTGTACCTATACTGCTGTAACAACAATAAAATTACGGTATAAAATGAAGTATAATAATAAAAGTATAATATAAGTATAATATTTATAATTATAAGATGAAATCTAAACGATGTTTTGTAGAGCTTAAATGACTTATTACTTCCTCTGGTGTTACACTGACTTCGTAGTGGATATTGAGGGCAGCTAATCCATTGAGTCTTCTTTCTGATGTGGAATTTCTTAAGTAACTCTTGATCCTTTTAAGTGTGGAAAATGATCTCTCCGCCTCACATGAAGTAATAGGAAGTGTGATAAGTATTTGTAATAGTTTATATATATTTGGGAATAAATCTGGATTGCATTCATTAAGTATTTGAATTACACTATTATATTGTTTATTACTGTCAGTCAAATAACGATTCCATAAAATAGTTTCTGATTTCACTCGATCAAAATCATCAACATCGTTAGCATAAAACTCAACAAGTTCTCTTAGTTTTTCTTCATCAAACTCTGAGCTTTTAACAAACATTTGAAATCCAGATATTATGTTTTGATGATTAACAAAACGATCGTTTAATTGTTGTACAAATGAATCAAGAAACGGTAGAAATAAAGTGATTCTAAAATATTCTTCGGGATCTTTTGTCGGAATATTATCTCGGTATTTTTGACGCTTAGCTAATCTAGGCATTTCAATAGTAAGTTCAAAATCGTTTAATCTTTTATTAATATCAATAAATAATTTGTTAAATTCAGAAGTGGCGTTTTCCCTTATACAACTTAATTGATTTTTTACTAGATTAATATGATTAACAGCTACCACCAAATCAATATTTTTACTTTGTAAATATTTGCAAAGAGACTGAGTATACTGAAAAATGTGGTTGAGAATACTGAGGGCTACATTAAATTCAGAAGATTGCAATGCCAAAAGCAGTTGATTAGCTTTACTCGATGTATCAATATCTTTCCATGTAATCATTTCTTCCAAGCAATAAATAATTGCAGGGAAAAATTCATTGAACGTTTCTATTGAATTATAACGTTCAACCCACCTAGTTGGGCAAAGCCTTTTAAGTTTTTGTTTATTTGAAGAAGTTTCTTTTTTTTTCAACTCGGCCAGATGTGTATTAAAAAAATTTTGTCGTTTCGGAGTATTTAAAAAGTTATAACATGCTTCTACAGTACCCATAGTGTTTCTTATTCCTTGAATATTGCAAGCATATGATACTGACAGATTGAGATTATGAGCACTACAATGTATGTACAATGCACTCGGATATTCTTTTCTAATTAAAGCTGCAACACCATTTAATTTCCCACTCATACTTGCAGCACCGTCATAACCTTGACCCCGTAGATTTTTGATTTCAATATTTAAGCCTTTTAACTCAGTAATAATATGATTTGCTAAGCTTTGACCACTAACATCATCCACTGGAACAAATTTTAAAAAACTCTCACACATTTTTTTTTCGTTCACGTCATAATAACGAGCACATAAAGCGAATTGTTCAACACCTGATATATCAGCCGTTTCATCGGCTATTATTGAAAAAAACGTACTATCATTTATTTTTTTTACAATTTTCGATATAATAATATCAAAACAAATATGAACTATTTCATTTTGAATTTTCCAGCTGATATATTGAGCATTTTTACTGCAATTTTCTCTAGCTAACTTAAAACTTTCATCACCAGATAAAGTAGTAGCCTTAAGAAAAAATCTTAATAATGACCTAAAATTGCCTTCATTTATTAATGGTTCATCTATATTAAGTGGTCCAGAATCGCGGTGACCTCTTAGAGCTATGCCTTGCCTACCACACAATATTACCGAATTAATAACAGGGATTATTATTTTTCGATTATTTTCTTTCTGGATTTTTTCAGTTTTGTTTAATTGATGGTAAACAGAATCTGTTTTTCCTGTAACAATTGACGAAATTTGTTGAAAATCTATTACACTATTTTGATGGTGGTTAGTTTTTTCGTGCGTAGAAAACTTTTCTAAAGCGTGTTTCCATTTGTTAAAAGGTTCGGTGCAAAGCTGGCCTAATAGCTGACTACCTTTTCCACCTCTATATTTGGAAAAAAGCACACAATATTTGCAGTAAGCACCGTCTTCAATTTTACTATAAGCTAGCCATTTCCAATTTTCTAACCATCCAAATTGAAATTTTAATTGTTTTTTGCCATGCTGAGTAGAAGGAAATACTGAGTTCTTACCTGGTGTCCATAGATTTTCTAGATGTCGAAGTTTTTCAGCATCAGTAAATTTTTTACCAACCATTAGCTGTATGTCAAAAATACTATGTACATTTGAAGTATCTAGATCCGAATGTATTTCTGAAGTTTGGACTTCTAGTGGTTCTTCTCCCCTAGAGACTTTAGCCGGTACATTTGATGTTTTAAAATAACTAATTATGCTCCGTTTACTCATATTAAATTTATAAGTATTTTATAATATTAGTAAAAGTAAATATACCTATGTAAATGCCAAAAAAAAAAAAATGAAAACTACGAAAAATGACAAACGATTTGTTAACAGTAAAAATTAATAATACACAATAACACCAATTATTATCAATGCAAGCGCGTGACTGTATGGTAATACCATAGATAATACATTATATAATTCATTATATATTATGTATTATCTATGGGTAATACCACAGAATAGATGAAAATCTGTGGTAATACTCAGAACAGTTATATGGTAATCTTTTGCAACGGTGACTTCTCGATACGAGCTTACACGTGATTTGTTCTTATCAACTATAAGGCGTTTTTATTATCACAATATCACAGCAGCCGTACTCGGTTCTGAATCGAATCAATTATTCAATTTTGTCAAACATTTTTATTATTTTAGAAAGATACGACACGGTTCAAGGGGGGGGGGTCCGGACCCGGGGACCCCCCCCTTGGTTGCGCCACTGTTCTAAAGTACACTATTATATAATATCTATGATAGTATCGCGGTTTGTTGTTGATGTATAATGCCATAGGCGTGTCTAGACCTTGTTCGCAGGTCATGCACAGTAGTGGCATATTCAGGGGAAGTAGGTTTCTGCACCCCCCACCCCCTAAAAAAAATTTGGTTTTGGTTTAAGGATATGACCTCCAAATTTCTTAACAAGCTTTATCATTATTAATTATTATCTAATACTTCAGAATAAAAAACAATATTCCTTTTATTAGATAAATAAAATAACAAGGCAATATAAAATTGTATTTTAAAATATAATTAATGTGTAGGTACCTAATACTTTTTACAAATATTTTTAGAATCACAAATGGTCTTAATACTTCATATATAATATATTATAATTCTAAACGTCGTTGTGTTGGTATCATCACTTTAAATTACTCGATAATTTCGTCGTAATTAATATTTGTTGTCATCTGTTGTTCTATGAATAGAAACATTAAAGCGTCAAGTCTTTCTTGAGTCATGGTGCTGCGGAGTTTTGTTTTTACAATTGTCAGCTTAGAAAATAAACGTTCGCATGAACAAGTTGTTACCGGAATAGTGGTAAAAAGTACTATTACTTTATAGAAGTGAAGAAAAATACAAGTTCTATTATTTGAATTTAGAAAATCAATCCATTGATGAAGTGTTTTAGAAATGGTTCCACAAGGGAAGCATTATCAATAATAAATTGTAATAGATATTAAAAGTCCACATGAAGAAAATCAAAAAATTTAATATGAAATCAAAATCTAAGAAAAGAAGTGTATATTATTATGTACCTCAATTTATAATGTAAGTTAGATCAAATTTCGCAGGTCATGACTGTGCATGACAGGCAAGACCCGTAGACACGCCTATGTATAATGCTTATAAGTAGGTACCTAATGGATATTGTGATATGATTAATTTGGAATTTATTATAGGTCAATTTTTTTTTTTAATACCATACATATGTATATAATATGTCTTAAACCTAGACTGACATACCGTCTTCGCTCAGAATCGTTTTTCTTATACAATATTATGTATCATTGAATTCAAATTTAATAGCATTGTAGTAAACCGACGTACCTAGTCGCTTTCCTATATATTAAATATTATAATTACATTCTCACGATGTGGCACGCTGGACAACAACAAGACTATTAATCTTTTTTCAATACCTTGGGTTTGGCAGCGCACTTAACGATTAATGTACGAATCTTCGCTTTACCAAAATAATGCAAAAACAAACCTATAAAGGCACTCAATCTTCGCATGGCCAAAATGATGCGAAAACAAAACTATTAAAGTTTTAATAGTTTTACGTGGAATAAGAATATAAATGTACTCATCTTCGCAGGGCCAAAGTAATGCGAAAGCATTAACATTAAAAGCATTAATAGGTTTTCGCAGAAACGAACTATTAAATTGTTATAGTTCAGGTCTTTTGGCAATAACAGCATCTAGCTCCGGCTCCTTTCAGATATCCATCTCCTTGACTCTACCGTGTACATCCGCATAGATTTCATATAAATATAAGATGATGTCTATAGCAAAATTAGAATCAATCTTGTAAAAAGATACTTTTAATTTGTATTTAAATAGAGATACAAATACATCAACTTAAAAAGTATTTAAAGTACTTTTTTCAATAAGTATTTAAGAACAAATACAAATACTTAGAAAGTATTTAAACACAAATACTTATTTTAATTCATTTGTTTTAAGTTTTACCTTTGGGTTCAATACATTTTCTCTGATATTTTAACTTTAAATTTGACCATGAGATCCAACTCATTCAAACTGTACATATTAATTATTATTATATAGTTAATACTTAATAGTTCATATATTATAATGCATGTTCCATATTCTGGTACTAACCAAGGTACCTATAATTGTATGATAAGTAAATAATCACCGAATGATCGTTTTAATTATTTATTGTATGAGAACTAAATATATATTATAAGAACCTTTATCTCCACAACAAACCTAGCTTCTGGAGAAAATAATTTATATATAAATGCTATATTTCTGTAGTGAAAATAGTTGTATTAATGTATATATTACGTATGTATACTATTCAATTATTCAACAGGAAAAAAAATAAGATCATAGGTAAACGTAAAGTCGTAAACCGAATCAGCTGATTGAGTATCGCTTCATTATGGTTCTATGTTTATAGTTTGGAATTTAACAATAATATTTTGCATTTTAGGAGGCTATGTCGGGAATAAACTTACTAAATTTCAATGATATTACTCATGACTATATTATTATTTAATCATGATATTAATTTGATTTCTGAGAAAAAAGATAATAAATAATCATTTTTTATTGAAAAAAAATCGATAAAGTATTTAAATAAAAGTATTTGATTTTCAAATACAAATACCTACGTCCAAAACTGTATTTAAAATACTTTCCAAATACTTTATTCAAAAAGTATTTAAAAAGTATTCTAAATACAATAAAAGTATTTAAATACATTTACTCAAATACTTTACAAGACTGATTAGAATTAGTTTAGAGTTTGCACTACGTACATCCTGTACGTAACTAACTTCTCGGGCAGATGCTTTTCGCTCTGTCCTCAAATTTATATTACACTTAATTGTGATCATTTACTTTTTAAAACGTTAATAAAACTACTTATACCTAACTTGTGTAACTTGTCTCTGCAACCTTTTCTCCTATTCAACCGTCAACGTCTTTGAACTCAAAAATATAAGCGTTAGTGAGGGATCACTACAGCATCCATTATACAGTGACCCACTTGTAACCTACTGTACAGCAGAGCGACATCCACTTACCCACCTTTTTTTATTAAATATAATTGTTTATTAAACAGATTATTATTAATTAGAGATTTTTTTTTATTTCCTTATAGATTCGTTCTATTTTGTTTAGATTTTTTATCAAATATAGATTTTTATTAAATACAGATTTTTTAATTAATTTATATTTTTTCAATAGTTTTTTTTTATTCTATTTGGCTTTTTGTATTAAAACACTAATTGTGAAAAAAATTTTATTTAATAAGAAAAAATCTATAAGTACTGAAGAAAAAAATGCATATTTGATAATAAAACTGATTGAGTATAACCAATTTAATAGATATAAAAGTCGTAATAAAAAATCTATATTTAATCAAATGTATATTCAATAAAATAAACTTGATTGATTTAAAAAATTATCCACATCTTGACTGAAATTTTTTTTTATTAAATAGTGTTTTTTTAACAAGGACTATTTATATTTACTTTGTTTATTAAATACAGATTTTTTTATTTTATTTACATTTTCTCTATAGTTTTTTATTCTATTTGTTTTTTTTTATTGAAAAACAAATTATGAAAAAATCTAAATTTAATAAAAAATCTAAGTAGAACAAAAACCTGATTAAATTTAAAAAAAACAATCAAATCTATATAGAAATTTTTTTAATAAATTAAGTTTTTTTTATAAAATTTGGTTTTTCTATTATATTTACATTTTTTATTAAGTACAGATATTCTAATTAATTTGGATTTTTTTTTCTTTTTAGATGTGTTATATTCAATCAAGGTTTTTTTATCAAATATAAATTTGTTTCTTCAGTAAAAATTTTTTTATCAAATATAAATTTTTTCATAATTTGTATTTCAATCCAAAAAATCCAAGTAGACTAAAAAACTATAGAAAAAATTTAACTTATATAAAAAATGTTGTATTTAATAAAACATGTAAATATAATAAAATATCTAATTTAATAAAAAAAATCTTATAAAAAAAATCAAATCCAAATAGTGTTATAGACTGCGCCTTAGCGATTCCGTAACAAATAAAAATAACGAGTTGAAATTACTTTGGCTCAATATTATATTCTTTATTCAATTGTAATAACGTTTATTTAAAAGAAATACTCTGAAATTGTCTGTAATGGTCTGTCATTACACCAAGACTAACTGCTACGTGTGCGAGAACCGCATACGAGCTCGTCCGTTCAAAAAGGGTTTATTCAGCAGATTCCTTAGACCAGTCGTATGGAGAAGAGAGTCCTACTCGTCTGTTGTCACACACGTATCAGCTTACAATATTATTAAACAGCAATTTACATTAAAACTCAGGGGTTCTTAACACTCCTACCCTTAAATGGAATATGGGGGCTTAATAGTCGGTTTCTGCAAGATACGGCTTGTAAATTTTCGTATTATTCTTTTTAACTTTGAATATAATGAAAGTATTTAATATAATGAGACAACTTATATATATAATATAATATTACTATGTGTACATCTATCATTTTACAGTTTGGAGGTTCTGAGGGTAGTTTTTCTAAAGTATTTAGT